GGAATGTATTAAAAATACATGAATAAAACGTTAAGGGATCGTGTTTGGTGCACAAATGAAAACATTCGGTAACATTCGATGGGCTCACATTTTGGGCAATGGTCATTCTTTACAGGGCCATTGCGATTGTCTTATTCAAACAGTTTTTTTTGGTAAAATGCATGTCACACGTTTAATCACATTTTCATGGTGACTGATATTTGTGTACTTCATTGTGGCTTTTCGATATAATCGCCAATGCCATTTAAAGCCTGGTACCCGTTTAAGCACGATTGGTTGGGTTCATATCTTGAAAGTGGCATCATTGTGGGTGTTCTAATCTATCTGAGCCATGTGTTTGTAAAAAAAAAAGCCGTAGCGTTCAGTAGGTTTTTTTTGCGTGTCACCGTTCACATAAGGTAACACTGTTAAAGTGAGATACAACATTAAAGATTGTATCTGTAAGTGTAAATAATTTCAGATGCTTCTCCAATTTTGATGATTGTAAAATCAGTCGATGGTGGCCTCTCTAGTTCTGTACAGTATTTTTCATTCGTTGCAATAACGTGCCTTCCGTTAACCTATTCTACGATTCACTTTAATCATTTACAGCAAAAAAAAAGCCAGGAGCAGATTGTTTTCCTTAAGCGTGATAATCTAAACCGGTTAACTCGTGTTGCTGGTGGTGCGGAGGGGAGCAGCTGCTAATCTCCCAGTCGCAGTTGTTTTTTTTATGAAGGGTTGAGAGGGTTCTGCAGTGCACTTCAAAAAAAAGAATCGAGTAGCATTAGTTAATTATTTCCATTTTTATTTTATTTTAAATATAGTCCGGTATATACAGTACATTACTCATCTCATTTTTCCACCAGTGTAGAAGGACTTTCAATATCTCAACGGACTGTAATGTTACCGTAATTACATTTGTCAAATGAAATCACAAATCAGTTGCTGTACTTTTCAACATTTTGGTATTCGGTGTACGTGGCCTGCCACGACCATCGGATCATTTATTGGCAATCATTAACCGGCCATTGTGGATGGAGGCGGCCACATATTGAAACCATAACTGGTTTTGTGTTGCTGCATTCCCCTTAGATTTTTGGTCATCTTCCAAACGTTGTTCACTCTCTTGGCTTGGTATTCGATTGCAAGTCGTAGATTCAGGGATTATCACCCCCTTCTTCTGACAGCAGTGCCTTTTCAGCCACCTGTTTGCCTTTCACGATACAGCCGTAGTTCGTGCGCCGTATTGGATTACAGTTTTTCTCGTCCAATTCTTTTCTTGTCCCCTTTGAATTGCAGTGCTTAACATGTACACATTTGCATGCTTCACTTACCATATGGCAACAAATTTCCTCATTTATATTTCCTGCCATTAAGTTGATACGGCCTTTGGAGAGGCATGCGTATGTTGAAGCGCTTATGTTGTGCATCGAGGGGTACTTTTATTGATAAAATTTTTACTCTTTAAAATTTTAACTATCATTAATAATTGCGCAATGTTTAAATGTGCTTCTGCCTTCGTGTTTTATGAATTCGTTCAGGAAACACAGTGCTTTCCTAACTCTATGGCCAAGATAAAAACAAATATATTGCTTTTAGAAGGACCACGGTGTATCCAGAATAGCATGTATCGTTGGAGCTTAGCAGAATTGTACTGTGCTAAGGAAAATAGCGACAATGCTGTACATTAAATCGATTTATAGCCAAACGGTCGTGTACCTAGCACGGCCATTTCAGGCAGACCAGAATAAAAATGACATTTATATAAGAGGTGGTTTAGAGCACGTCAGAGTGCTTTTATATAGAGTTGAACTTGATAATTAATGAAAAGTAACTTACAAATGTGCCCAGAGAACAACGTTTGAAATCTGCGTACGACATGCGTGCTTGAATTTACACTGAGACAAAAAGTTGAACACACGGTTTAGGGAACATACACAGGTTAAATATATAGTTTAAATTGTTTGAGAAAAATAAGTGGGCTTGGCAGGACACATCAACTAGAAAGGTTCATGGACGACAGTAATTAGCCAAGGAACGGAACAGTGTCTGAGAGAATGCACAATGAGGAAATGGAGTGATGAAAACGGCTTGTGTTGCAAGTGGTAGGTGTATTGATACATTTCAGACATTGGCAATGGCTTGGGGGAACGCCTTTATCCACCAGTGGATTCATCACCGATGCTCATAATGGTAGCGCCGCATTCGTCGCTGAAGCAGTTTGGTGTGGGTTCACCGGTTTAAGTTCCACGGCTGCCTTGTCACCACGGTAAAGTTTTGAACAAGTTCGGCTGCGAAACCAGAAGTTAAAGACTTGGTGACATCCGTTGAAGGTGTGGGACTGCTGTGTGGAAATGCAACACCCTGAATATCAAACGTGAAAATTAGCAGAAATAATGGTCTTATACACTGTAATAGCAGCTGCTTGTGTGCATTGACCAGAATTGGACATTCACATGATTATAAAGAAATAAAGTCGCTTGAAGTACTGCAATAGCAACTTATGCAGGAGTTGCACTCTGCTTCCATCTATTTTTAATGCATACATTTGTAAATAATCCGTTATTTTCTTGGCGTTTAATTTGTCATTGTGTCTAGGCAGCACAACATATCGCACGAGTGCTGACTTCAGCTTTACATCACCATCACAGAAAACACAAGAATGCAAACAACACGTACAGTGCAGGGGATGTTCATGTCAGACGCCATGGCTATATTCGGTCATGTTCACCTCAAGTCAGATTGTTTTTGTTTGCCCCTTTTATTCACTGTTGTTGTTTGGTTGTGTACACCGCTGCACTGGAGATGTCTGAGAAAAAAATGGGAAAACTTGAAAACAAACGAAAAGCAGTAAATATAATATTTTTTGTGTATACTTTTTTCATTTGCTGTGCCTTTTTATTTATCTGTGGGCACCCCTCTCGGATTTCATGAAAGGTGACTCAATTGCCCTATTATATATGCCTTCATTCTTTCTTTCTGAAATTGAGTTTATAATTTACACTTAGGCAACAAGATATTACTTCAGAGCATATACACTTCATGACTACAGAAGCTGTGAATCTTTACATAGCCTAGAAAGGCGCATTTTGATTTGTTGATCAATGTCTGGATGCAACAAAAAAATCACCAAGTTTTATTCAAGATACTTTATTTATTTCATCTTTATTTAACAGGTTAAACAACCCTTGAGGTGAAAAACCTCTTCCAGAAGGAATTGGGTTGAAAAAAATATTGCACGGTAGAAATGTTAACACAGCTGATCTTGTTTCTTCAACAGCTGTTTTATGTTGTGAAGCGTTCAAGGGAGGAGTGGATGTTGCAGTGTGCCTGATCACCTATCACTCACTTTGATCAAAACATGACCTTGATGTAGCAAATGTTAAAACACTCCAAACGCTACCAGCCTCTGTATAAATGACAACAATCAGGACTCAAAAAGAGGAGTTGGCCCTTTGTCATGGACCTTCTGCAAAATAGATAGAGAACATAAATCCAAAACCCAGCACTCAGTTCATCTATCTTAGAACAGGAAAACAGACAGTGGCCATTGTTCGGAATAGAAACATAGAGAGATGGCAGCAACGTCAACTGAGTGTCGGGAGAAATGACCGGACTTGTGCCTTAAATCAAATTGAAGAAGCTGAAATAAGAGCGTTTTTTAAAGAGAAAATGTCAAATAAATTAGCAAAAATCCAAGACGGATACACACGCTGATTTAAATTAAAACATATTTCTAAATTGTCAAACTGCAGAACTGCATTGTGGAAGGTAAACGTGCGTTTTTTTGTGTCACTGTTGCCATGAGTTCAGGCCCAAAGGCCCAACATGCCGAGAGGTCAGCCAGAAACATCACTTGTTGAAGGTGCATGAGATAATAATGAATGCTTTTCTCCAAGTGTGCACGGTTATAAGAACCTGGGGAAAAGGGGCAATGGGAGGAAATTCCATACTCGGTCAGTGTGAGGAAAGAACGATCAAGAGGAGTCATTTTGACCTCTATAATGGTGATCGAACACAGTGTTATTGAGATGATAAAGTCAGTCTGATATGTATGTATGTCGAACTTATACTGGTAGGAACCTCCTGGTTACACCAGCCCACAGGGGATTATTGTTTCCGTCCGTCGTGCAGGGAGGGGCTGGATGGGGAGGGGAGGGTGGGGAGGGGCTGGGTGAGGAGGGTGGGGAGGGGCTGGGTGGGGAGGGGCTGGGTGGGGAGGGTGGGGGTGGGAGAGGTGGGGCTGGGTGGGGAGGGGCTGGTCACTCCGTGGTGCCCTTATAAAACTCAACGTTTAACCTACTCACGCCGGCTTTTGCCCGCCCTCGCAGTCGGCCATATTTGCGGAATACACCACGCCGCCGTTGACCCTGGCCATTGACCGAGCAACCCAACGTTCCTACCAGCTCCCTCCGCAGGAATGTGTTTTTGCACCATACGTAGCCAACCATGCTAATCGATGGTGCGGAGGAAGGACAACAAATTAAACACAAAAAAAGCAGTTCTAAAGAAATGCATTTTCAATATAACTTTAAAAGGGCATAGCTCCGGTGGTTTTCTAATCTCGGAAGGAAGAGCATTCCAGACGGCTGCAGAAGGGCATCTGAAAGCAAGCGATGCCAGTGATGGTTTATGCTCTTTGACGAGATACCTAATCCTCAACATGGGTGGAGGAATCCACGTAGCATAGAAATGTCATTGTTAAGTTAAACCCCGTTAGTCACGTTCCTTAACGGCGTTAAGAATGCATTTGCATCAGGGTGTGAACCCAGATTAATTACTAGTCAACCAACATGTCCCTGCATATATATTTTAAGTGATTTGTTTACCTTTCCTATACTTTACACTCCTATCGTGTTTTCGTATCGTTGGTTGTTGCAACGTTCTGACTCACCCCTACTGGACATCTTGCGACAAAGAGCTTTAGAACTCATCGGATTCCTCCAGGAAAGATAAATACAGATTGTGAGATTCTGACCTTGAGTGCTGAGACGCCATGCCTTTGCTGTCCCCATCAGGGACCTGCTCAAGTTGCTGGTGCCCCCCAAGAGCGTGCTGCTGCTGCTGTGCGGGGTGAGTGAAGAGGACGCCCAAGGCCTGCTCGCCGCCCTGCACGTGTCTCACCGGTGGACGATACTGTCCTGCGAGAGCGCCCCAGAGAGCTTCGTTGCCACCATCACCGACATCGTCACCGAAGGTAAGGGCCCTCCACCCCTTTCTTCTCACGATTATGCCCCCGATTGTCACCCACACGCAATTTGATGATTTGATTTCGTGAAAAACCTTTTGCAGGCAGGTAAACGTACGATAGAACCGCTTTTTGTGTTTAGTTTGTTGTCCTTCCCCTGCACCTCTGATTCGCGCAGTTGGCTACGTACGGTTTCTTCACTTCTCACTGCTGAGTAAAAGTTTTTATCCATTCCGTCTTCTCTCTGAGTCGTTCCTGTCCAGTAATTCCCTCCAAAATTATTCCTCTAGCCATCTCTTCCGCTGCCATCCTCTGCTTTGGCCTCCTCCCATTATCCATAAGATTCATTCCAATTATTTTCAAGGAAAACGACTTCAAAATAAGATTGAATCATTTTCAATTTATAATTTACGATGAAAAAAGATAGGGATATGTTCTAGCACGAATATTATACAATAATAGTCTTTTTACAGTGTATGCTTGTGGTCAGATGCAGTTTCCTATATTGTCTAATTTATTGGGACCGATGCATTGTTTTAATGGTTGAAATTTGTTCAAATTAACGGCACTTGCCAGTAATAGTGTGTGGTCTTGGACTAAAGGTCACCGGATCGATCTCTTGTCGTGGCATTTTAAACGATTGACAAGTTCCACCGGGCAATATAAATGGATACACCACAGTTATAGTCAGTCGGAAGCTTGCATGTTGTGGGGTAAAGCGTGGGTATTCACATCTTCCAAGAGCTCCCTGTGGTGGAGACCCTTCGAGCAGTAGTCTAAGCAAGCAATTGCAGGGCTGCACTTATACCTCTGAGAAGAGTAACCCAATGAATGTATTCTGCTATCCACAGCCATGGTATCACAGATAATGCAATGGGAATAAGAGTATTAAAAAAAAATCATAATTATAAATAATTTGCTTCTGCCCAACATGGTTACTCCTCTTTGGTCACAGATCAGAGAAGTTCCACTGCATATAAAAGTGTGAACACAGTGCAGTGTAGCTATACAACGCGCATGTCCCTACCTATTACTCGAGGGTGGTCTTGTGCAAAGTTAGGCAATTATTACACGCTAATTAATACTGGTAGGAACCTCCTGGTTACACCAGCCCACAGGGGATTATTGTGTCTGTCATGCAGGGAGGGGCTGGGTGGGGAGGGAGGGGCTGGGTGGGGATGGGAGGGTGGGGAGGGGCTGGGTGGGGAGGGTGGGGAGGGTGGGGAGGGTGGGGAGGGGCTGGGTGGGGAGGGTGGGGAGGGGCTGGGTGGGGAGGGGCTGGGTGGGGAGGGGCTGGGTGGGGAGGGTGGGGCTGGGTGGAGGGTGGGAGGGGTGGGGCTGGGTGGGGAGGGGCTGGTCACCCCGTGGTGCCCTTATAAAACTCAACGTTTAACCCACTCACGCCGGCTTGTGCCCGCCCTCATAGTCGGGCATATTTGCGGAATACACCACGCCGCCGTTGACCCTGGCCATTGACCGAGCAACCCAACGTTCCTACCAGCTCCCTCCCCAGGAATGTGTTACATTGCAGCATATGCAAATGATGTTGTTATTCTGATAATTTTGTTAAACGACTGTTCATTTATCACATTACTCTACTATAATTTTTCAATCATTGTTGGTTTGTTAATTTACTTTTTGTTTTAGATTCCAATATACTTTTTACATGTTTTAGTCATTTACATTATAAGGAATTGTTTAATCATACATTAATTAAAAATTAAACATGCTTTGAAAGTATCTTATGAATCAAGTTGCACAGAGGGACTTTGCATGGATGACAGCTGCTTCTCATGTGGCTTCCAACAACAGGCTCTGTGTAGAAGACATTTGCACTCATTCCACACAAAGGGCTTGCCACAAATTAACCACAATACCTTGCTAATCTCCTAAAGGAGCATAAACCATCACGTGAACTCTGGTCATCCTTGGCTTGCCATCAAACAAAGATGGTCACTGTAGCTTGTGCTTTCAGGTGCACTTCTGCGGCCGTCCGGAACGCTTTTCCTTCGGATATTAGGAATCCACTGGAGTTGTGCACTTTTAAATCTACATTGAAAACTAATTTCTTTAGAACCACTTTTTTGTGTTTAGTGTTTTTGTCCTTTCCCCGCACTTCTGATTCGTATGGTTGGCTATGTACAGTACGACAGAAATTTAACATATATACAAGCAGAACTGTCCGAATAATTACTTAGGAATTAAATGTGAATTACTATACGGTAAATTTAAAGTCGGGAGGAGCGGTGGTGCTGTGCAGTGCACTGCGCTATGAACCCAGCGAACTGAGTTGGATTCCTGGTCACGGCTAACATCAGTGGCGAGCAATGATATCTGGATCTATCCTGGGTCCGCCCACCTTCAACAAATACTGACCAGTACGGCGAAATATTGTCAAAAAACTTACATAACTGACATAACATTTAAAGGCCTTCATCCAACAATATGTTGACAAATGGCTGAAAATTATTATCTTCATTATATGGCAAATTGCAAGTGCCCGTCCGTCTGTCACACTCTGCATCTCCAAAATGGTACATCAGAGGACAAATGTTATCAAGGGTATTCCCAGGAAGTTGTCAACTTTCAGCTGACAACATTTTGACCCCAAACTTTCCAAAAAACAACTTGGTACATCTAATAACCTGCCATATGAACATGATTATAGCACTGGAACGCACCTTGCACTTCAATGCTCAAACCGTGTGCAATGAACAATGGTTACGTACCCAGAGAGTGTCATTGGCATCTATTACAGATTTCACTATACAATGTCAGGTTTAATATGCCATTCTGTAATGCATTCCGTTCAATAACGGAGAACATGACAAAGGTACTATAATCTTATTCTAGATTTTTCGTTAAAGTCATGTAGAAGGGAAATAATAAAAATACAACATAATAACATGCTCACGACGTTTCGGCCACAACACAAGCAGCCGTCCTCAGGTGAAGAACAGAGCTGTCGGAAAGACAGCGTCCTAATGAACACTGCTAAGCTTGGCACTATGGTACTATAATATTTTTTCCTATTTCCCAAATCAGATCCTACAACATACAATATTTCCTGTCGAGATGTTTTGGCCCATTTGAACCAGAGTTTGCAGGAGACTTCAAATACAACCAGAATCCTTCAAAGCTCTGAGTTGGACCTCCACAGTACTTGCTCCAAGCAGATTCCCAGTACACTTCCAATTTAGTGCTGTTGCAGACACGTTTCTGAGCGAGAGGGTGACTTCACTTAAGTTTTATCTGGCGCAAATGCGCAGGCAGTGCTAGTTATGCATTTTATGATAAAATAAATGTTATCAAATTAATGTGTGTGTAGGGATTTTATATATATAAAAAAAATCGATTGCATTAAGCTTTGTCCAAATCCATAACAAACTTAACTGCAGTACTTAATAACCCATATATTTCAATACAGTACTGCAACACAATTTCAACCGGCCTCTGTATCTTCTCCCGCTGCATGCGTATGAACACACACTTTAGCACGAGGTAAATATAGCAATCACGTAAATGTTTGATAGTATTTATGATTAATTCATTTGCATTACTCTGGGGGTGTTGGAGGGAGGTGAATGAGTCGAGGTTCAGCTCCTTGCAGGTTTCCTGTTTGCTTTGAAAAATGTTGTTTCCCCATACTCCCTGAGTAAACCACGGGTCACGTGGTACGTGGCAATGACTTGCAATTGTAGGTCAGACGAACGCAATCTCAGCTACCAATTTGAGTGTTTTGGGACAATAACGATTTTTTTAAACTAACACATGAGCTGCTCCTTTGTGCCATTTGGGTTACTGAAATATAATTAAACAAATATATATAATATGATTAAACTGCATTTAAATTTATCCACGTTTATATGATGTTGACGGGGTGAAAGACAGTTACTGTCGTGCAATCTGCATCTTGCATATCGTAGATGTGGCACAGGCAGTTAATAATCCAGGGGGGTGTCGCTTCGTGCAATGTCATCAGTATTGGTGGCTTTTGAAACAGTGTGGTTCGACTGGTGGACATAAGTGCTTAAATGATGATTTGATTTATAAATTGTATAAACATTTATATTTTCAAAATAATCGATTCATCGACTCAAAAAAAATCACCTGTAATGCACCCGATCTTGTCAGATCTTGGCAGCTAAGCAGGTTTTGGGCCTGGATAATTTCTTGAATGGTCGACCACCATGTACGTCACATGATTATAGGCTATAGTGCTCTGTGGTGAGCAGCAGAGGACAGTGCATTAAAATCCACTGTTGTAATGTACTTCTAAGTTCCCCTATCTATGCTCCCCACCTTCACCAATCTGCGTGGTGAAATATGGTCAAGTGACTCTGCATGGCCTGCACAGCAATGATGCCCACATCTAGCAGTAGATTGGCACGTAAAATCCATTCTTCGGTATCCATTTAGAAATAGAGGACATGAATCATCGGCCTCCGAAATGCAGGAAACTCACTGGAGTGCACACCCAGCGTGACGAGGTGACAGCAAGTGATAATGATGACATCATCAGTTCTTGCCTACCTCTACCTGAGATGTTTAAAATGCACGTGTCGATCCTTGTGTGTGGAATTTATGTTTGCACACGATGCCACTGTATTCAGACACCACTCGCCACCCATATTCGCCATGGCTGGGAGTCAATCTGAGTTGGACACGGTTCAATGCTAAACCGCAGTGCCTACTGCTCCCCCAAGACGTTCATTACCAGTGAAAGAAAATATATTTTCAGTTCACAAAAAAATGCTTAAATAACAAACTCTAGTTATTCACGGCATTTTCTTTTCATGAAATTGCATCCATGCGTACGGGAGTTTGATGCAATGCTTTATTTGCGGGAGCAATGCGCACAGTGAAACATAATGGCTGTTCAGAATAAATTTGGCCTGACAAGTTCACGTTCGCAACATTGCACTGTGTTTCATTTAATGCATCCATGGTGCTTCAGCTAAAAAAAAACATTCTCTAAAAGGTTGCTCAGCTCACTTCGGCTAGAAGTG